AGCCCGATCTGCTTCCAACGCCCTCCTGCTTCGTGCTTCTGCCCACCTCTTGCGACCGGCGTGTCAACGCATGTGGCGCCGATCCGTTCATATCCGTCACCCTGGATTTTCCGCACCTGATCAGCGCGTTTGGTACGCCTGCCGCCAAGGAGGAGGAGGAGGAGGAGGAGGAGGAGGAGGAGGAGGAGGAGGAGGTAGGGGAGGAGGAGGCGATGAGTGGCAGGCGGGGAGGAGGGGGAGGTAGGGAGGGGGAGGACTGGGAGGCAGGAGGAGGAGAGGGGAGGGGGAGGGGGAGGGTGAGGGGAGGGGGAGGATGAGGAGGTGGGAGGAGGAGGAGGAGGAGGAGGGGTGGAGGTGGAGGAGGAGGGGGAGGAGGAGGAACCCTGCAGGGTCGCCTCGTCTCGATGGCAGGCTCGCTCGTGCGTTCCCCGCGGTCCTCCGCCCGGCGCCGCCCCACGCCCGCCCGCCCCGCCGAGGGGGCGGTCAGCTCCATCGCGCTGCCCGCGTTCGAGATGCGCTGCTCGTGGCAGGCCCGCCCTGCCCGTCGTCGTCGTCGTCGTCGTCGTCGTCGTCGTCGTCGTCGTCGAGGTCGTGGTCGTGGTCGTGGCCGTCGTCGTGGTCCTGGTGGTGGTGGTGGTCTTTGGCGTCGTCGTCGGCGGAGGAGGAGGAGATGTACGCAGCCTCTGAGGGGTCTGTCGCGCCTTGCACAAGCAGCCACCGTGAGCATGCTCGGAGCGGAGATCTCGACCAGACGCTCGCCTCGCGCGACCTGGAGGCCCACCTGTGGGATCTCGGCGGAGGAAGCGCGAGCGCAGGTCGAGTTGAAGCAAATGAAAGTGAAACTCGAAACATGGATTTGAATCTGTAGACTGAATCGCCATCGCCAACACGAAGCCGAGCCACCTCGGAATCAGAGACGGCGAGGTGGCGCGTAAGAGCAAGGGTCTCTGTCCGATGCAAATCGGCAGGGTGCCTAAGTGTCTTGAAGCGATGTGTGTGTGTGTCCCCACCCTTCGAGTATGGAAGTGCGGGGCACCCGTCGAGCAGGTAGGACGCGCTGTGCAACACAAAACACACAACACACAGAACACAACGCACAGCACACAATGCACAACACACAACACACAACACACCGCACACAACACACAGCACAGAACACAGCACACAACACACAACACACAACACTCAGCGCACAACACACAACACACAACACACAACAACAACACAAAACACAGCACACAACGCACAGCACACAACCCACACAACACAGCACACAGCATTCAACACACAACATACAACCCACAGCACACAGCACACCACACACAGCTCACTACACACAACACACGACACACAACACACAGCATACAATGCACAACACAACACACAACACACACCACACAACCCACAACACAACCCACAATACGCAACACACAACACGTAGCGCACAGCACACAACATACAGCACACAACACACAACACACAACACACAACACAATACACAACACACAACACACAATCCACATCACACACCACACAACCCACAACCCACAACACACAACATACAATACAACACGGGGCACACATCATACACCACACGCATACAACACACCACACACCACACAGCACACAACACACTGCACACAACACACACCACACATCAAACAACACACAACCCATAATCCGCACACACAACACACACACACCAAACAACACGCAGCACACACCACACTGCGCACAACACACAACACGCAATCCACAACACACACGCACACCAACGACGCACAACACACATGCACAACGCAAAACGCACAACACGCTGCATACAACACACACCACACAACCCACAGCACACAGCACACCGCACACAGCACACAGCACGCATCACACAGCACACAACACACGGCACACACCACACAACACACAACACACAGCGCACAGCCCACACCACACACAAAACACAGTACACAGCACACAACACACAGCACAAACCACACACAACCCGCAACCCACAGCACACAGCACACAACACACAGCACACGGCGAATCCCACACAACACACAACACACAACACACAACCCGCAACACACCACACAACACACAGCACACAACCCATAACCCACAACACACAACACACAACACAGCACACAACACACAGCCCACAACTCACATTCCACAGCACACCACACACCACGCACACACGCACACACACACGCATACACACGCAGACACACGCAGACACACGCAGACACACGCGGACACACGCACACTCACACACACGCACACACATGCACAACACACATGCACAGCACACGCACATAAGATAATCAGAGTGACTGGGCGCGTGGCTGAAGTGAGGTTCTGCGGTGTGGATCGTTGTTGCTGCTTGTTGTTTGTTGTTGGTTGTTTGTTGTTGTTTATTTTCGTCGTCCCCCCCGCGACCCAGCCCGCGACCGACCCTCGACCCACCTGCGACCCACCCGCGACCCACCCGCGACCCACCCGCGACCCACCCCGCGATCCACTTGCGACCCACCCGCGACCCACCCCGCGACCCGCCCGCGACCCACCCACAACCCACCCGCGACCCACCCGCGACACGGCCCGCGACCCACCCACGACCCACCCGCGACCCACCCGCGATCCACCTGCGACCCACCCCGCGACCCACCAACATTGCTTTAACACAAAATCGAAGCCTGCGACGGGCTCGTTGTATAATTTGTATAAATTTGGCGCCTGTGGCGGGCTTCTTCAGAGCCTCGCAACCTGCCGACGTCCCCGCCGCCCTCTCGCACTTATCCGCATCTGCGGGGTGCTACGTATTGACAGACCAGTATCTGATGGCCTGCGGCCCTTCCAGCCACCGTGCCTGGGCTGGGGGTCAGAGTTCTCGGGGATGCTTCTTCGGGTCTCGTCCGAGCTCTTTCAGGGGTCTAGCACTTTTGGGGCCCCTTGGGGGGAGGGCCTCTTGGGAGCCTTTTGGGGGCCTTTTGGGGGCCTCTTGGGGGCCTCTTGGGGCCTCCTGGAGGCCCCTCGGGGCCGAGGGCTCGACATGTCCGTTCAGGTTCCCCATCTGGGCCCCCTCTGGGGGCAGTCTTCGGGCCCTCTTGGGCCGTCTTGGGCGCCTCTTGGGCCTTCTTGGTGCCCTCGTCGTCGTCGTCGTCGTCGTCGTCGTCGTCGTCGTCGTCGTCGTCGTCGTCGCCGTCAACTTTTGGTCCAAATTTTTGAGTCCAAACTCATGGTGCGAGAGAGGATCGAAGCTCTCTTTCGGTCTCGGAGCTTGCTCACCGCTTGCGCTGTGAGTCCAGCCTTGAGGCCTGCTCCGCTTGAAGCTCGAGCCTGAGTGACCACGGAAGTCCTCAGCAGCAGCAGCACCACTTTTTTGGGGTCCAAGGGTTGGGGTCCATTGGGGTCGCCGTTGCACGGTTTCCCCCGGGGCCGTAGGCGACCCGAGGAGAAGGAGGAGGAGGAGGAGGAGGAGGAGGAGGAGGAGGAGGCGGAGGAGAGGAGGAGGAGGAGGGAGGAGGAGGAGGAGGAGGGGTCGCCTGAGCCTTTCGGAGAAACCTTCCAGTCGCCGTACCTCGCGTCAGAGCCTCCCTCCCCGCCCGCCCGCGCGCCGCCGCCTCCTCCGCTGGCCGCTCGTCCCCTCCGCCGCGAGGCCCTCGAGCCAACCGCGGTGAAGTGCCTCTGCTCCGCCAGGCAGCCGCAGCGGCACCCGAGGGGGTGCGTCCCCTCCGTGCCCCTCGCACGCCATTCTCCTCCAGCCCTCCTCCAAGCCTCCTCCAACCCTCCTCCCAAACTCCTCCTTCTCCTCCTCCTCCTCCTCCTCCTCTTCCTCCTCCTCCTCCTGCTTTCTCTCCCCCTCTTCTCCTCCTTTCTCTTTCTCCCCCTCACCCCTCCTTCCCTCTCTCCTCTCCTCCCCTCCTCCTCCTCCCCCTCCTCCCCCTTCTCCCTCCCGCGCCCCCTTCTCCTCCTCACCTCCTCTTCTCCCCTATCTTCCCCCTCCTCTCACTTCTCCTCCTCCGTCTCCTCCTCCTCCTCTTCCTCCTCCTCCTTCTACGTAACGCTGGATCCTTCTCCGCCTCCTCGTCCTCCTCCCACTCCTTCACCCCTTCATCATCCCCCTCTTCCCCCTCTTCTTCCCGGGCTCCGTGGCCGTCAAGCACAAGCGGCACGTGTTGAAGAACCAGTCCTGGGGAAATCTAGGTCCAGGGCCCGTTTCCACCAAAGGATTTCCGTTCCTCATGCCAGCTCTTCTCTCCATTTCCAGTGTGTCTGTGGGTCGGGGAACATGGAAAAAAACACATGGCACCTGTACCCCCCAACCCGAATTCGGGTCTTCGGGTTGGGTTGGGGTGGTCTGGTAGGTAGTCATCCTTGGCGCCTTTCGCTGGCCAGCCCCGTTCGAAAACCCAACATGGCCTTCCAAGGCCCCTTCATCCTTATCGCGTATCCTCATTCAGCGACTTGACTGTAAGCGGAGAAGGTGTATCTTCCAGTGAATGTGATAGTGTTCCAAGCGTAAACGATCGTGTCAGATCGGGCAGTTGAGTGGGTCTCACACGAGTTAGGAGAGCAACGGAAAGTTTGTTGCTGATCTGGATGCAATTATAAAAGAATGATGAGAAGTCTTGGTGGGAGATGAAGGATTTGGAAGAACAGGAAGAGTAAAATTGGGAGGAGCAGGTGGGAGGACGAATTGAGGGAGGTGAGAGAACCTGGTCGGAGGAGGCCAGCTGGCTTTTCGTCTTCTCGTCTTCTCTCTGTTCTGAAATGCTACCTTGCTCTATGAGAGTGTGCTGCTTTGGGCCTCGCATCCAGTGAAGTGGGCGGAACCTCCACAGAGTGCCCTTCTGTCGAGGCAGGGCTGACCTCGGCGGAAGAGTGCAAGCTTAACGAGGGCTGCCCGGTCGGCGGATACCTAGCCGGACCCCGCGGAAGCAACAGCCAAGTCCCCGCGGCATTGACAGGGGCTTTCTGCCGACTGGTCGATCCAGGCGATGCGCAAGGTCTGGTAAGCACGACTGGTGTGTTCGAGCCTGTGCAGCGTTGCGCCGTCGCACTGCGAGGCCACTGGCGCGACCTGATGGGCCTGTTTTCCACCACCACCACCACCACCACCATAAGTTGGATGGGGGGAAGGCGGAGGAGGAGGAGGAGGAGGAGGAGGAGGAGGAGGAGGAGGAGGAGGAGGAGGAGGAGGAACCCCCTCCAACTTATGGCAGTGGTGGTGGTGCAGAACAGGCCCATCACGAGCGGGCGAGCCGAGTCTCCCCCCCTGCGGTGTTGGCAGGCAGAGCGGCCTGTTCGTCGTCGGCGCCGCCAACGGCGACCTGCAGCTGTCCGGGCCTCTGCAGCCGCCTCGCTGCCACCCCACACCCGCGTTGCTGACCTTGGCTGCCTCCTGAGCTCAGTCCACACCACCATAAGTTGGAGGGGGGAAGGAGGTGGACGATGATGATGATGCTGCTGCTGCTGCTGATGATGATGATGATGATGCTGATGATGATGGTGATGATGACGATGATGATGATGGTGATGATGATGTTGATGATGATGATGATGATGATGATTGATTGATTGATTGATTGATTGATTTATTGATTGATTGATTGATGATGATGATGAAGATGATGATGCTGATGATGATGCTGATGATGATGATGATGATGATGATGATGATGATGATGATGATGATGAGGAGGAGGAGGAGGAGGAGGAGGAGGGGGAGGAGGAGGAAGAAGAAGACGAGGCGGGTCCATCCTGCCCTGCTCCGAGCCTCGGGAAAAAGCTCTGGTTCGGTGCAGTGCGGCGCGGCCAGGCTCAGCGTTGCTCGGCTCTCGCCTCGGCGCCGCGCTCTCTCTCTCTCTCTCTTGCGACGGCGCCGAGGCCCGAGGGCCCGCCTCTGGAGGACGGCGGCAGGCCGACCGCCTCGAGTTTTTATCGAGGGGCCGGAGGCTCATCGGGGGCATCGGAGAGTCGGGGGTGGACAGACCTCCTACCCTGACACGTCGATTAAGGAATTGGCCGTTTTCGGTTCGCGAGGGGGCGTCGCGGCCGTCATTTTTGCGGGTCCAGGTCCGCCGGTTTCGGTCCCAGGCCGCTTTCACTAAGGGGAGGTTTACTAAAGGGAGGTTTGTCCACCGCCGAGAGGGGGAGAGGGCTCGGGGAGAAGGTGGATAGCGTTAAGTCGGGCCCGTCCTTCTACAGGAGGAATATCCAAAAATAGTCAAAAATAGTCAGGGGACGATTCTTATGTTTCATTTCTACATACATACATACATACATACATACATACATACATACATACATACATACATACATACATACATACATACATACATACATACATACATATATATATATATATATATATATATTATGTGTGTGTGGGGGGTAAAAAACCCCAAAAAGGAAAACAAGTATATTTTTGAATATTTGGAGGTACCTTTGGAGTATTCTTCAATTTTCGCTCAAAATCCCCCTGTAGGGGGACAGGCCCGACCTCAGGATAGCGTGGCCGGGGCCATGGGCTCGCCCCGATGTCATGCCGCCCTGCCTCTTCTCTCCATACGTGCCCTGGCTTCCCCCTGTCGTCCTCGCACGTGCCTCGGGCCATGATGCGCTACCCCTCCCTCGTCCTCGCCATGAAGGGAAGGGGTCCTGCTGCGCGAGCCCCTTTTCGTCTTCGTCATCGTCTTCGTCATCTTATTCTTCTTCTCCTTATTATACTTAGTCTTCTTCGTTTTGTTGTTATTATGCTTCTTGTTCTTCTGAATGATGATATTATTACTATCATTATTCTTATTCGTATTTTTTGATATATTTATCATTATTGTTAACGTTGTTTTATTCTTCTTCTTCTTCTTCTTCTTATTATGATATTTTCATAATTCTTCTTCTTATTATTGTTTGTCATTATCATTATCATTTTTATTATTAGTATCATTATTATTATTATTTTATTCGCCTTCTTCGTTCTTCTCCAGCAGCATCAGCAACAACCTCACGTCCCCTGGTCCCCTTCCTCCTTCGTGCACCTGCCTCGGGCCATGATGCGATAGCCAAGCGCTTCCTCGCCATGAATGAAAGGAGTCCTGATGCGCTAACCCTTGTCTTCCTTGAAGGAAAATTGGTCCTTAGGGAACCGTGTCCCGGACTCCGGGGCCTTTTCCCAGGACCGGTTCTTCATCCCGAGGTTCTTGTTGACGGTCCTGAGGTCCGTGGAGGGCTCCCAGGGCTCGAACGCGGCGAACAAATTCCAGGAGCCCCTCCTTCGAAGGCCCGCTGCCCCCATGCCTGGCTGATCTTCCCGGCCCCCCCTCTTCGGCGCACCCCTTCACGAGGCCCAGAGGGCCGCATGGGGCTGTACGGGCGCGACACGCTGGGGCCACCTCGGGATCCGCTTGGATCTCATCGATCCACTTCGACATCGGCTCCGGCCAGTTCGATCCGATTCGATTCCGATGCTCCGGCTCTCCGATGCGGCACGATGCCTGCCTGGCGCCGTTGGGCATCCTGGCGCAGCGCAGCCGATCCGAGTCGATTCCGGCCCGGTGCCGGTGCGGCCCGATGCGGCGCACGTTTCGCTCCGACCCGATTCCCCGATGCGATGCTGACTGATTCTGCCCACTCTGCTGGGCAGTGCGAGGAGGCGATCGCGCCTCCGAGTCCCCCCCCTCCCCCCTCTCTTCGCGATGGAAGCAGAACGGGGTGCCCTGAGGGAAGCGGGTCGTGTGGAGCCTGGGTGGCCCGCTCCCCGGACTCGAGCCTGCCCGTCTGGCTGACGCTCCCGATGTGTTCGCACCGTGCCGCAGAAGTCACGGCGGAGAGCTGTCTTGACGAACCCCCCCCCCGACTCTGGCTTTTGACTCGGCCCGCGGGTGTGGGCGCCATCGCAAGGCGCAGGTGGCGTTGGGAGGAGGGCGGACGGGTTAGGGGGCCACGTGCGAATCCTACCCTTGCCCCCCACGATGTCTGAGGGGGAAGGGGGGGGGTTCACTTCGTTCGGGGGCTCCCGAGCGAAGTGAACCCCACCCTCCCCCTCAGACATCGTGGGGGGTAGGGGTAGGGTTCGCATGTGGCCCCCTACGGGTGCAGGGGCCGACCACGGGGGAGGGCGGGGGAGGGTGGAGGGCGGGGGAGGAGGGCGGAGTGTGGAGGGGGTGGCGCGAGTCGAGGTCTGCCCGGAGGGGGGCGAGCGGGGCTCGAGGTCGCGCAGTCTTTTCTGTGCGACGCCCTCCGCGGACTTCCCCGGAGGAGCTCCGAGGGTGAAGTCGGGCAACGTCCCTGTACAGGAGGAATCTGTGAAAGCAGTTCAACAGATAGCCTGGGGACTACCTTACGACTATTTTTTGATAATTTTTGAAACGTTTTTTTTGTTTTTCGTACAAAATTCGCCCGCAGGGGGACATGCACGACCTAAGCCGAGGGGGCGATCGCCGAGAGCCCTCGGCAGGCCTCTGCAGGGCCTGCCGAGGCCCCCCCCGCGGGCGGCGCGGCTGCCGCCGCCCGCCCGCCCACGAGGTGGCAGAGGGACGAGTCGGCCGTGCGGGCTTCCGCGCCGCAGGCGCGCGCCCAGGGGGGGGGGAGGCCTGCGGGGAAGGGGAGGGAGGAGGAGGAGGAGGAGGAGGAGGAGGAGGAGGAGGAGGAGGAGGAGGAGGAGATGGAGGAGGAGGAGGAGGCGGAGGAGGAGGAGGAGGAGGCGGAGGAGGAGGAGGGCGGAGAGGAGGAGGGAAAAGGGGAACAGGAGGAGGAGGACGAGGGAGGAGGGAGAGGGTGGGGAGGGCGGGAGGGGATGGAGGGAGGGAGGGAGGATGGGACGATAATAGGAGAGGCATGTGAGGGAGGGAGGGAGGGAGGCAAAGGGGATAGGAGGGAGGGAAGGGAGGGAGGGGGGAGGTAGGGAGGACATCCATCGTCTTGGTGGGGGCGTCCTCCTGCGGACTTCATCCGACGTCGACGACGGAAGGGCGACGACGAACGACGACGAAGCCCGCGCTGGACAGGGAGTGGGTCAGCCCGACCGAGTGCGGCTCTAATGGTTGCGAGGGGTGATGACCAGGGCCTCGGGGGGGGAAGTTTGCGGGGTGGTGAGGGGCAACGCTCAGCGGTGGGTGCTCTGGAGGGGGGCCTGCCGGGGTGGTCATGGGCAAGGCAGGAGGGAGGGGCTCAGGGGGATCGAGGCTCGGGCTTCGAGGTTCGGGGTTCGCTCTCTGGGCGCCTGGGGCGCCCCCCGCGGCCACGGTGGGGTCCGCTTCGGAGTCCTGGTCCGAGCGCGCCCCAGGAGAGGTCCAGAAGAGGCCTGCGGGGTGGTCAGGGGCGACGTTCATGGGGGGGGGGGGGGGCGTTTGAGAGGGGGGTGCTGGCTGGGGCCAACTGGGGGGTGGGCATCACGGCCCTGGCCGTGACACCTCCCTGGTTGGAGTGGCCCCCCTCGTCTTCTTTCCATTCGTCCCCTGCCCCCCCCCCCTCGCCCGAGCTCGGGCCTCGGGCCGCGATTTGCGAACTGCCCTCTTGGACGCCTCCCTCGTCGACGCCCCCAGGGACTGCGCGGGGGGGGGGGGGGGGCGGGGCCACGTTCGGGGTGGCAGTGTCCGGGTTCGAGGTTCTTCCACTTCCTCGTCGATCCTCGGCGGGCCTCCAGCCTCCGGGCGCCCTCCAGCGGCTGCGCCTCGCCGAGGACGTTTTCTGGGGTGCCCGAAATGCCCCAGACGCCCGCTGGAGAGCTGCGCTCAGGACCGTGCCGGCTCGCTGTGAGGGGCCTCTCGCGGGGCTCTCGGCGACGTATCACCACAAGTCAGGTCGATGTCCTCCCCCTCGGAGCCAGTCCCCCCCATAACGCTGCCTCTCCAGGCTCACCACCGGGGGCCTGTCGCTGCCCTGTCGGCGACGTATCACCGCAATGCAGGTCGATGCCCCCCGCCCTGAGCCAGTTCCCCCCCGAGCGCGTTCCACTACTCGCAAAGTGCCTGCTCGCAAACGTCCGCAACAAAACATGTCTTCCTTTACGTGATGCGTCGTAGATCTCCCGCGGCGCATCTATCTTCTCCCTTTTCCCTCCTCCCTTCTCCCTCCTCCCCTCCTCCCTCCTCCCTCCTCCCTTCCTCCCACCTCCCTCCTTCCTCCTCCCTAGGGACGGGGCTAGGACGAGGATCAGTCCGTTCCACAGCCTTCAGAACGCCCTCGGAGCGTTCCAGGACGCTCTGAGGAGGAGGCCGCGGCGGCTGATACACCCGCGGCGCCCGATACATCCCCCTCAGCCGCCGGACCTCAGAGGTTCTCGATTCATCCTCGCCCGATTTTACCGTCCTGGCCTCGGCCCCCCTCCTCCCTCCCTCCCTCCTCCTCCTCCTCCCCCTCCCTCCTCCCTCCTCCCTCCCTCCCTCCCTCCCTCCTCCCTCCCTCCTCCCTCCTCCCTCCTCCCTCCTCCCTCCTTGTCCCTTCCTCCCTCCCCCGGCCCAGGCCGCCGGCGAGGAGCTCCGGGCCGCGGACGGCGCGCCGCGGTGCGCCGGCGGGCACCCCACGCTGGCGACGTCCTCGTCCGAGGGGCGCTACGCGGGCGGCTGGCGCTGTGCGCCCCCGCCGCTCGCCGCTCGCCGCTGACGACGACGACGCCGACGACGACGACCACGACAACGACGACGACGGCGGCGACGGCGGCGGCGGCGGCGGCGTTGGCGGCACCGCAGCACCACCCCACACCCGCAGGGGGGGCGGCAGTGGCATCTCCCACCGCCCCACGCCGGGAGGGTTTCTCCGAAGGGCATCTGCGACCCGTCCTCCTACTCCTCCTCCTCCTCCTCCTCCTCCTCATTCCTTCTCCTCCTCCGCCTCCCTCCTCCTCCTCCTCCTCCTCCTCCTCCTCCTCCTCCTCCTCCTCATTCCTCATTCCTCCTCCTCCTCCTCCTCTCCTCCTTGGGTCGCATACGGCCAAGGGGGAAACCGTGCAACCACGCCCACCTGTTGGGGGCCTGCTGGGGGTCTCTTGGGGCCTCCTGGGCGCCTCTTGGGGCCTTCTCGGGGCACTCTTGGGAGCCTCTTGGAGCCCTCTTAGAGCACTCTTGGGACCCTCGTGGGGTTCTGACGGCGGCGTCTTGCTGCTGTACATCTTGTGTGGAGCCTTGGGGGCCCATCCTGGGGCCATCATGGAGGAGATCGATCAGAGAAGGGGGGGTAGTCAATTCCATCCCCTCCCCCCAGGGGGCCAAAATTGGCCCCAAACCTAACGTAAGTCAACGATTTTTGCCTTCTCGCCGAGGCCGTCTTGGACGCTCTAATCGGTCGCCACCCCCCTCCAGACCCAGGGGGAGGAGGTACGCTCTAAACCACACGCAAGGGCTGATGGGATTCCTCCTCATCCTCATTCTCGTTTGGCTAAGTCTGCGGACCGTATCCATCAGTGATGCAAGGCCCTCGGTGACCCTCCTCATGTGCCGGGGCGAGGGTAAGAAGCACGAGAGGTGGATGTAAAGGGATAGTGGCGAATGACCGAACGGCGGACGCATAGTGAATGTTGTCCTCCTCTTCTTCTTCGACCTTCTCCTGATCCTCCTCCCCCTTCTCCTCCCCTCATTCTTGGATGGACGCCCCCACCCCCATATTCCATCGCTTCTCTCTTTATCTGATGTGGACCTCTCTCTTTCTCCCCCTCCCTCAGTGGGTTGCGCACCTCCTCCTCCTCCTCCTCCTCCTCCTCCTACTCCGCCTCCTCCTCCTCCTCCTCCTCTTCCTTGTCTCCCTCATTCTCCCTCGTCCTCCTCCTCCTTCTCTCCCTGATTCTCCCTCTTCCCCTCCCCTCCTCCCAGGCGCGCGCGCGTGCGCGCGCGCGCCAGGCACGACGTGTGGCTGCCAGAAGCGAGGCGAGCGCTGGTTCTGCAGCCTGTGCCAGGACAGGGCCGCGGAGGCGGCGGCGGCGGAGGCGACGACGACACTGGTGCCGGTGGTTCCGTGGCCATTGCGGTGCCCGTGCTGGGGGCATCGGTGGGAGGAGGAGGAGGTCGAGGAGGAGTAGGCAGGAGGCAGGAGGAGGGAGGAGGGAGGGAAGGAGGGATGGGGGCGGGGAGGAGGAGAAGGAAGATGAGGATGATGCTGATGCTGATGCTGATGCTGCTGCTGCTGCTGATGATGATGATGATGCTGCTGCTGCTGATGATGATGCTGTTGCTGCTGCTGCTGATGATGCTGATATGATGATGCTGCTGATGATGACGACGATGCTGATGATGCTGCTGCTGCTGATGATGATGATGATGATCATGATGCTGCTGCTGCTGGTGATGATGATATAACGGTCATGATGATAAGGAGGCTGCTGATGATGACGACGGCGACACGGATGATGATGATGATGATGATGATGATGATGATGATGATGATGATGATGATGATGATGATGATGATGATGATGATGATGATGATGATAATGATGATGATGATAACGATGATGATGCTGCTGCTGATGCTGATGACACTGATGATGATGGTGCTGATGATGCTGACGATGATGATCAGGGGATGATCGGAGGATGATCGGAGGATGATAAGGATGCTGCTGCTGATGATGATGCTGATAAGGATGATGCTGATTATGTTCAGGGTGAAGAGGATGCCGATGATGATGATGCTGATGGTAATGATGGTGGTGATGGTGATGATGATGATGCTGATGATGATACTGATGATGCTGATGATGATGCTGATGATGATGCTGATGATTCTGATGATGATTCCGATGCTGCTGATGACGATGATGATGACGATGGCGATGATGATGATGCTGATGATGTTGATGATGATGATGATGATGATGATGATGATGATGATGATGGCGATGAGGGTGTGGATGCGGATGATGAAACTGCTGATGATGCTGATGATGAGGATGATGATGATGAGGATGATGCTTATTATGAGGAGGACGGCGACGACGATGACGATGGCGCTGACGATGACGATGTTGATGCTGCTGATGATGATGAGGATGATGATGATGATGACGATGAAGATTATGCGGAAGATGATAACTGTACTGATGATGATGCTGATGCTGATGATGACGTCGGCGACAATGATGATGATGATGATGATGATGATGATGATGATGATGATGACACTCATGATGATGATGCTGATGATGATGCTGATACTGATGCTCATGACGCTGATGATGCTGATGATGACACTCATGATGTTGATGATAATGGTTTGAGGATGATATTGCTGCTGCTGATGATGATGCTGATGAGGAGGATGCTGATTATGCTGAGGATGATGAGGATGCCCATGATGATGGTGATGATGATGGTGATGAGGATGATGATGCTGCTGCTGCTGATGATGATGATGATGATGTTGACGATGATGCTGATGACGATGATGATGATGATGCTGATCATGATAATCATGATGATAATCATGATGATGATAATGCTGCTGCTGATGATGATGATGCTGATGATGGTGATGCTGATGATACTGCTGCTGCTGATGATGATGCGGCTGCTGCTGATGATGATGGTGATGATGGTGATGGTGGTGGTTGTGATGATGATGATGATGCTGCTGATGATGATGATGATGATGATGATGATGGTGGTGGTGGTGGTGGTGGTGATGGTGATGGTTATGTTGATGGTGAGGGTGGGTGTGAAGGTGAGGAGGAGGACGAGGAGGAGGTGGAAGAGGAGGAGGAGGAGGAGGAGGAGGAAGGGGAAGACGAAGACGAATGATAATCATAAGGATATTAGAAAGAAGAACAAGATGATGATGATGATGATGATGATGATGATGATGATGATGATGATGATGATGATTCTGATGATGATGATGATGATGATGATGATGATGATGATGATGATGATGATGATGATGATGATGATGTTGATGATGATGGTGAGGAGGAGGAGAAGGAGGAGGAGGAATAACATTAATAAGAAGTATCAAGAAGGAGGCGGGAGAGATGGGACAGGAGGTGGAGGAGGAGGAGGACGAGGAGGAGAACGTGGAGGAGGAGGAGGAGGAAGAGGACGAGGGGGAGGAGGAGAAGAGGAGGAGGTGGATGACGAGGAGGAGTAGGAGGAGGAGGGGAAAGAAGGCCTTCCTGGCCCCGGGCCCCCGCGCCGCCGCGCGGGGACCCAACGGGGGGGCTGGCCTCAGCGCGCCGCCGCTGTGGCGGCGCGCGTACAGCGTGCACAACAACAGCAACAACAACTGCCAGGAGGTGATCATCTACTCCAGATTTCGTAATAAAAGGGAGGGGGACCTGGACCCTCCAAAAAGCCATTCAGACCTCCCCCGTGGGAGAACCCTCCAAAACACCGTCCCCAGACCCCCCCAGGCCCTCCAAGATAGCCTGGAAGAGACCCCCCCCGAAATGTGATCATCTATCTGTGTCTACTCCAGATTTCGTAATAAAAGGGAGGGGGGTCTCGTTTCGGGGGGGGGTCTCTTCCAGGCCATCTCGGAGGGACTGGGGGGGTCTGGGGACGGTGTTTTGGAGGGTTCTCCCACGGGGGGGGTCTGAAATGGCTTGTCTTGGAGGGTCCAGACCCCCTCCCTTTTATTACGAAATCTGGTCTACCGCGTCAGCCACGAGAAGGATAATGACCGCGACTGCAACATCAACCGTCAGTTGTTGCACTGCAAGTCAACGGGATTTACGGACGTTTGCGGAGACGTGTCGGCAATGATGCCCGGGCAGGGCGCGCATAGAGGTACATGTGCGCGAACAGACGCGGCCCCAAAACGAGTGGGGTACACCGTCCGGAATGGAATCCAGCTTCGGCCCGACGACATCATTCTCATTGCTACGGCGGCCCTCGCGAGAACGTCCAAGTACGAGCTGCGTAACATGCCGCCCAGCTGCGAGAGCGAGCTACGTAACAGGCAGTCCAAGTACGACAACGAGTTGCGCAACAGGGAGCCCAAGGACGGCCACCACCAGTACGACACCGAGTGCGCCACCACGACCGAAACCAGGGGCGACGCCACCGAGCAGCCCAAATGGGGTTACTTCGTACGCCGTCGCGGAGGTACAGGTGGATAACGGCTGCGCCGTCTACGACGAGTACGGCTACGGCCGCGCTGCGTGCTACCAGTGCGATTGCGGCAGGTTTTTCCACAGTGACCTGTACTCCTAAGGCCACCAGGACTGTTCCGGCCGCCAAGACGTGGAACATTACGACTTGGCAGCCGACGGGCTACGGGAGCCACTGGCAGAGCTACCCAGGCCACCCCCTGAGCTACCAGAGCTTCCAACAGGTCTACGAGGGCCACCAGCTGAACTACGAGGACCTGCAGCTGAGCCACGAAACACCAGGAAGGATACCAGGGCCACTTGCTGAGCTACAAGAACCACCAACAAAGCAATCATTCCACCAGCCTGGGTACGAGTGCCAAAGGCAGACGTGCGAGGACCATAAGAAGGGCTACAGGGACCACGACCCGAGCTACGGGAGCCACTGGCAGAGTTTCCTGGGCCACCTGCTGGGCTACCAGAGGTTCCAACTGACCTACGAGGGCCACCGGCTGAATTACGAGGACCACGAGCACAGTTACGAGGGCCACGAACGCGAATACGAGGGCTTCCAGCTGAGCCGCAAGAGGCACCCAGGAGAGATACCATGGCCACCTGCTGAGCTACAAGAGTGATGAGAAGGAGGAGGAGGAGGAGGAGGAGGAGGAGGAGGAGGAGGAGGAGGAGGAGGAGGAGGAGGAGGAGGAAGGAGGAGGAGGAGGAGGAAAGAAGGAGCAGGAGGAGGAGGAGGAGGAGGAGGAGGAGAGGGATGGGGGTTGGGCAGAGTCTCCTCGTTCTCCTCCCTCTTCCTGCTGATGCTGCCCCTCTCCTCGGTGAGGTCTCCCCCCTCTGGGGGAGGAGGCGTCCCAGAGGACAACCTCTGCTTCGGCTGCTGGCCCCGCTACGAGAGGGGCGCCGCCGCCCAGAAAGAGGCGATCTTCGTGGAGGGCCGCCACGTGCAGGCGCGGCGCGCCGGCTCTGCGTTTTGCTAATGCGTTTTGCAGGCAAGGGTGAGCATGAAGGAGACCGAGACACTCTTCTGGGCCTCCTCCTCTTCCTCCTGTCCTTCCTTCTCCTCCTCCTCCTCCTCCTCCTTTCCTCCTCCTCCTTTCCTCCTCCTCCTCCTGTCCTCCTTCCCCTCCTCCTCCTCCTCCTCCTCCTCCTCTTCCATCTCTTCCTCCTCCTTCTCCTCCTCCTGCTTCTCCTCCTCTTCCCGCCCCCCCGTCCTCCGACTGCCGCTGCTGGCGACGACAGCAGTTGGACGCCTTCCGCCTTGTCTGGGCCTGCGGGAGGCCTCCGCGCCACCGCAGCAAAGCTGGTCAGAGCGATCCCCCCCCAGAGAAGCCAGGGCGCCGAATTCTACAGGCGGCTGCTCCTGTTTCCGACCTGCTGTCCTTTGTGCCGAAGATGCGGGAACATAGACACACTGTGGCGACCCATGCCGAGAAGCACCCTGCTTGCCTCCAGGGTGCCTTGGGTTTCTGGGCGTCCTGGTCTCTCAGGGTTGGGTTTCTCGTCTTCGGAGGGCAGCGCAGATTTCTTGGGTCGGCGCCAGGCCTTCCCCCCCCTTGGAACGACAGTTGGAAGCTCTCAGTGGCAGCAACAACATAGGTGGTCCACTTCGTACCAGAATTTGGCTGGGACGATTTCGGTATCGCAAGATGGAGTTGTTAGGTTACCGAAGTGGAGGCGTTTTTTGTATACGACGCACGTGAAACATATAATCGAGATGTCCCAGTAGTGACTCTCGCGAGGCGCACACAACATACATGGCAACGTATAAGACTTGCGCAAGCAATTCGTTTGGTAGCCATGCGATCAGAGAGGAACATGAAGTCCTGCTTCTGGAGCCGCTTGGACGAGATCCATGACTTGTGATGGTAGCGCTGGCGACGTCCAAACGCCTCCTGCTCACAGTGGCACTGCGAATTACTTCACTCTGACCCATCGATGGCTGCACATGTGACGAGGTATGCTCGGTGACCTCGTGGTGGCCTTGCGGCGCTTCTTGGAGGAGAAAGGGTGGCCCTGGTCCTGGAGAATCCAGGTATGACCATGCCCGAATCCATTTGCCCGCTGTTGACCTTCAGTTGCCTGGAAAGCGCTGCAGGGTAATCTGCCTGCCAGCACTGCCGACAAGGGAAACCGACCTGCGCAGGAGGTCGTCGGGCATACTGACGGGCAGAAACACTCCGCTGCAGCTCGCACGAAAAAAAACGGACGTGCTGCAGGCGCACAGCTTCAAAGGGGCACCACCGGTCCAGCACGCAGACGCGGGTACCGCCTCGCGCTGGGCTCATCTGCACCTCTCGTCCTCGGCATCCTCGTCGACCCCGTCCTCGTCGTCGTCGTCGTCGTCGTCGTCGGTCCATCCGTCGGTCGGTCCGTCGGTCGGTCGGCGTCGTCGGTCGTCGTCGGTCCATCCATCCGTCGGTCGGTCGGTCGGTCGGTCGGTCTGTCGGTTGTCGTCAGCGGCGTCGTGCGTTTTCTGTCGTCCGTCGTCTGTCGTCGTCGTCGCCGTCTTCGTCGTCTTCGTCGTCGTCGCCGCTGCCGCCGTCTTCGTCGTCGTCGACGTCGTCGTCGTCGTCGGTCGTCGGTCGTCGGTCGTCGGTCGTCGGCCGCCGGCCGTCGCCGGTCGTCGTCGTCGTCGGCCGTCGTCGACCTCGCCCTCCCCTGGCAGATGGGCCCCAGGGCACCGCACCGGGCCCGCCGGGCCCGCCGGAGGTGAAGAAGCACTCGTCGATGGGCTGCGCAGGCGCCGACCGCCGCCGCCTCGGCGCCGCGCCCGACGTGCCGCGAGCCGACGCCGCGCTCGGCCGCCCTCGGTGCGCGCGGGCGGGCGGCCGCTGGCCGCCCCCGCCGACGCCCTCGGACGCAAAGAGCTCGCGACGGCCAGCATTTTTTCAGCGCTCTTGGGCCTCTGGAGGCCGTGCCTTGCCGCGCCCCGTTCGAAGAGCTTCAAAACGGCCTTCCAAGGCCCCTGCATCCTCATCGTGCATCCTTATGGTACGGGTTGACTATGGATGGCGTCGGAGGATCGCACCACTTCAGCGACGCGGCTCGGTGTGGAGTCCAGCTTTCTCCGCGCCGACGGCGCCGATTCATCGGCGACGCATCGGCGACGCAGTGGGGATGCGGCTCGATCCTCCGATCCCTGTTCGGACCCCGTGTGCCAGAGGAGGAGCAGAGTCCAACCCGTCAGGTGTGGGGGGGCCGACCCCCTCTGCGGTGCCGCGCCCGAGCGTCGTGGAGTCCACCGGGTTCTGTTCGACGGCCGAGTGTTGGGGGGGCCGCCCCCCCCAGTTCAAACGCGCCGCCGAATGTTCCCAAGGCAAGCGCCGGTGAAACGCGCACCCTCGCGCACCCTTGGAGTTCTAGTTCCCCTGTGTCGGACAAAAAACAAGACATCGCATTTCTGGCCTCCTGGCCTCCACATGTCAGGAGACAAAGTCCGATGTGCATGTACATGACTTTCTGCTGTGGTCTTCGAGAGCATGAGATCATCCATTGCGCGAGCGTTTCCGTAACACGAGGCTGGCCTTGCGGATTGGGGGGCTGTATTCAAGTACGTGGTTGGGCGCGAACGTCTTGAGAGCGCTCCTTTGTAGGCTGTTTGTCGCCTATGTCTTGGTGGCGGTGGGATACTATTGTCAAATCCTTACGGCCGGTGCCGCCGACCCTGAAGGGAGACGACGACGACGACAACGGCGGCGGCGGCGGCGACGACGACTACGCTGACGTGGGCCAGAGTCCTCAGGGATGCTTCTTGTGGTCTCTTCGGAAGGCTCTCGGGGGCATCTGGGGAAGAATTTTTGGGCCTGTTGGGAGCTTCTTGGGGGCCTCTTGGGAGCCTCTTGGGGGGCTCTTCGGGCTTCCTGGGGGCCTCTTGCCCAGGTCTTGGTGGCGTTGGGAAACTATTTTCGCCCTCCCGACTCCGCCTCCTCCCTGTTCTCGCCTCCTCCCTGTTCTCGCCTCCTCCTCCTCCTCCTCCTGCCTCCTCCTCCTCCTCCGCCTCCTCCTCCGCCTCCTCCTCCTCCTCCTCGTCCTCCTCCTCCTCCTCCTCCTCCTCCTCCTCCTCCCCCTCCTCCTCCCTGGGGAATGGGGGAGCTCTGGGACCGCGGGCTGGAACAGCACACGTCGGAGGGTGTCTGGGCTTTTGGCCCCTGTTGGGCCTCCAGGAGCGGGGCCTCGTCTCCGGATTCTGAGGCCTTCGGAGGCTCTGGGCTGTTCCGGGAAGGGGGAGGGAGGCAGCCTCGCATGGGAAGACCGATTGCAATGCAGAGCGGCACTGCGACATAGAAGCACGCTCACTCAAGCGTATTTTGTTGCGTGGCGACGACCTCGCCCGCTTGGGGCACGCACCGCTGATGCTCCGTCTACTTCCCCTTCTCCTTGTCTCTCTCTGTATCGCTCTCCTCCTTCTCGTTCTCTTTCCTGTCTTTTGCCCTCATCCATTCCCTTCCCCTTCTCCTTCTCTGCTCCTCACTCTCATCTCGTTTTTCCGTCTCCTCCTCCTATTCCTCCTCCCAGTCCTCCTCCTCCTCCTCCGCCTCCTCCCAGTCCTCACCCTCCTCCTCCTCCTCCTTCTCCTCCTCCTCCTCCTCCTCCTCCTCCTCCTCCCAGTCCTCACCCCCCTCGCCCTCTCCTCCTTCTTATCCCTATCTTCCCCTGCCCTCCGTCCTCCGTTCCCTCTTCCCCCCCCCCCCCTCCGCCCTGCCCCGAGGGGCGGAGCGGCCCGCGCCGAGGGTGGGCAGAGCAGAGCGGAGCAGAGCGGGGCAGAGCGGGGCAGAGCGGAGCGCCAGATTGGGGCGCCGCGCCGCGCCGCCAGTGGTCACGTTCCGGGCGAAGGCGACGAGGGACCAGGCCAGCGCGCGGGGCGGGTGGGTGGGCAGCCAGCTGGCGGCCATGGAACGAGCGAGGAGGAGGAGGAGGAGGAGGAGGAGGAGGAGGAGGAGGAGGAGGAGGAGGAGGAGGAGGAAGCGGAAGAGGAGGAGGATGAGGAGGATGGGGATGATGATGCTGATGATGATGCTGACGTTGTTACTGCTGGTGATGATGATGCTGACGATGACGATGCTGATGATACTGATGATGATTATGCTCATGACGATGCTGATGATGCTGAGGCTGATGATGCTGATGATGCTGATGCTGACGATGACGATGCTGATGCTGATGCTCATGATGATAATGATGCTGCTGTTGACGATGATGACGCTGATGCTGATGCTGATGATGATGAGGAGGATGAAGTGATGATGATGATGATGATGATGATGATGATGATGATGATGATGATGATGATGATGATGATGATGATGATGCTGCTGCTGCTGCTGCTGCTGCTGATGATGATGATATAGATGATGATGATGATGATCGATGATTGGATGATTGATGATGATGATGATGAATGATATGATAGAGGAGGAGGAGGAGGTGGAGGAGGAGGGTGAGGGCGGGAAGCAGAGAGGGGAGAGAGGTATAACGGGAACGTGTGGATTACTTCGGGGCCGAGGGCGCTCGCGCCAGGCTTTCACACTGAGTTCTCGCGTGCATCTTTGAATGCTCTGCGTGCTCTGTGGCGTCCTGCTCTCCCTCCTCCTCCTCCTCCTCCTCCTCCTTCTCCTCCTCCTCCTCCTCCTCCTCCTCCTCCTCCCCTCCTCATTTCCTCCTCCTCCTCCTCCTCCTTCTACTCCTCCTCTTCAGAACAGGCACGACGGTTTTGGGGGCCATCATCCCCCAATTTGTTCGTTTTGGGGGGACCCTACCTCCTCACCCCTCTCTCCTGCTCCTCCCTCCTTTCCCTTCCACCTACCCTCCTACCCACACCCTCCTCCTCCGTCACCCTCCTCCTCCTCCTCCTCCTCTTCCTACTCCTCCGCCCTACTAAGGATTCCCTACCAAGGATTCCCTGTTATGGTGCAGAGCTTGCGATGGACTTCCCCAGCCCCCCCCTCCCTCAAAAAACAACAACACATGTGTCAGTTTTTTTTTCTCTTGGGGGGGGGGGGGGGAGCGACCTCCTCCTCCTCCTCCTCCTCCTCCTCCTCCTCCTCCCCCCCTTCCCCTCCCCCTCCCACGCCTCCCCCTCCTCCTCCTCCTCCTCCTCCTCCTCCTCCTCCTCCTCCTCCTCCTAGGACCCAAAAAGCAAAAACAGTAAATGCACGGTGGTCCCCCTCTTCGGCCCCATTTCGGATGAGACGATTTCTGAAGTTCGAAACCTTTTGGCCCATCTGGTTCCTGAATGGGTAGGATTCATGATCGACGGATGTATGTTGTACTTGGGCCTTGAGCTTGGACCTGGTGCGACCACTGAGCGATGTTGGCGAAAACCCTCAGCCAACGTGCGATCTCGGGCGCGCATGCTTAGTCTTTTGGGTGCTGCGGTGAGCGTCAATGCGATACTGTACCGTACTCGTGTGCATTATGTGCTCTCTTATGCTTCCCATTTCGTCCCGACGCCATCCGCGTTCTTGAATTTCGAGCGAGGCGTCATGGCACAAGTCTTACGTTGCCCCCGGGGCATGGTCAGTATCGAAGCGATTACTGAACTGAAGATGTGGTGTGGTCCAGCACTACCGGCATGGTCTGCACACGCTGCTGCTGCTGCTATCCTCCGCTCGGCTTCGTCTACATTCGCAAATATCCCGACCCACCTCCACATGATGCGTGTACAAGCTCAACGATGGCAGATGGGGTTGACGACGGGCTCTTGGATGATGTTCCCCTTGGTGCTGTGGATCGTACTCGCTTTCATCCTAGATTCTGGGCCGCCCCTGCGTTCGTTGACAACCTCGGTGGGGTTCTCAACCATGCCAACGATGAGTGGATCCTGACCGCGCGAGAAGCCACCCGAGAAGAGCTAGGATGTCAAGGTCGACGCTCTCGTCCCCAACTTGTTGCTGCTACCGCTCTCACTCTCCGATTGGTTGAGGAAGGGTCGCTAGGATGTGCTATAGGACGTTTTCTTTCTTCCGTACTTATTGATTACGTACCCTTCCCTGATCGTGTCCAGTGGGATGTTCTTCGGTAGCTGCTGCAACTTATCCCTCAGCTGGGCCCTAGTGGCGGTTCGTACGTGCAACAATGGTTGGTTAATGTCGTCCCGAATTCTTCACCCTGGAGGGCTACTTAAATGTCGTTTTGATTGCGGGTGTCCCGACATAATCACTCATTATTTGGTTTGCACTCGTCTACTCCGCTCTGTGGGCTCTGGTCTAAAACGCACTCTTTCTTCATGTCTCGCGACCCGTCTAGGACTGGTCCAGTCGAAGGTGGAGCACTTTGAAACGTAATATGTTATGTGTCAGACATTCAACCTTACCCGTGAACGCGGCGGGCTCATTCTTACAGGGCAGCTGCGTTCTCTGGTGGTGGCTGCGATTCGGCCTCTCCGGTTGGCCAAGTCTGCTGCTGCCTAGAAGCGGTGGGAGCCGCCAGAAGCGATCGTAGTGACATGCGTACCCAATGCCATTTCATCGTCGACCTCATTTACTCGAGCACCTCCTGCTCTGACTCCTCTGAAGATGGCAGGATGGCACAGGGTGGTGTTCCGCCATGTAGGATTGCACCGAGATCGGCACCCTCGGAGCCGAGAAGATCAATTCCATGTTCGACTGGTTCATCTCTGTCCGTGAGGGCAGGTCGGTGTGCGAGGAAAAGCTTGCGCCGCTCGTTGCATCTGTGCATGTCTCCCATCGTGCGCCCTCCCCTTGTGCGCGTCCCGCTCTGGACGCTGCCTCGGCTACTGCTTGCTCTCGCCCCTCCTCTTCCCCGATTCAAATGACGGCTCCGCTCGACGGCCTAGCGCCGCGCGCGAAGGCGGTCCTCGAGGCAGGCCCGCTGCCGCAACGCCCGCTTCCACGCGGGCTCTAGGTGAGGGATCAGGATCCCCCCCGTGCGCTCGTCCCTCCTCCTCCTCCTCCTCCTCCTCCTCCTCCTCCTCCTCCTCCTCGTCGTCCTCCCACTCCCTACGAAGGATTCCGTACCAAAGACTCCCTGCGATGATGCAGAGCTTATCATGGGCTCGCCTCTGCATATCATGGCTCACCAGGGCTGAGCAAAGCTTACCTAGGCCTTACCAGGGCTTATCAAAGCTTGCCAAGGGCTCAGCTTGCCGTGGCTTAGCAGAGCTTACCAAGGCGGAGTGGGGCTTAGCTGGGCTTCGCACGGCTCAGCAGTGCGTAGAACAGGTTGCCAGGGAGTAGCAATGCTCAGCGTGGCTTAGCAGGGTCGGCCAGGGCTTACCTAGGCTGAGCAACCTTTACCAGGGCTCAGAAAGGCCCAGCCGGGCTTAGCAAGGTTGACACGGCCGTAGCCGGGCTTATCAGGGCTTAGCAAGGCTTGCCAGGGCTTTGCAGATTTCAGCAAAGCTCAGCAGGGCTGACGGCTTCGAAAGGCTTAGCAGAGCTTCGCAACGCTTGGCACGGTTGGGTAACGCTCAGCAAGGCGTAGCAGGGCTTGGCAGGGCTCAGCAGGGCTTAGCAGAGCTGATCAAGAATTGCTGGGAATAGCAAGGCTTTTTGAGCTTAGCAGGATTTCGCAGAGCTTACCAGGGCGTAGCAAAGCTTACCAGAGCTTAGCAGGGCTCAGCAGGCCGTATCGGGACTTGGCAGGGCTTTGCAGGGTTTGCCAGAGCGCAGCAGGGCTTAGCAGGTTCATTCGGGCTTAGTAACATTTTCGAAACCTGGGCAGTGCGCACCAAGGCTCAATAGCAAGGCATACCAGGTCTGAGCAGGGCTTAGCAAAGCTCATCAGGCCGTAAGGCTTTGTAATGATTAGCAGGGTATAGCGAAGCTTGTCAAGGCTTAGCAGGGCTCAGCAGGGCTTACCAGGCAGTAGCAGGTGTTATCAAGGCTTGCCAAGACTTAGCAGGGCTTCGCAGAGCTTGCCAGGGCTGAGCAGAGCGTGGCAAGCTTGTGGGCTTACCAGGGTTTACCAAGGCCTAGCAAGGTTTAGCAGAGCTTAGCAGGGCTGAGCAAATCTAAGAAGGGCTGAGCAGGGTTTAGCAGGGCTGACCGAGGTTTACCGTGGCGTCGCAGAGACCAGCTGAGCTTTGCAGAGCGCACCAGGGCTGGGCACGGCTGAGCCAAGCTTCAGGGCTTGCTAAGGGGTCGCCAGAACTTAGCAAGGCGTAGCAAATCTTACCAGGGCGTGCCAGGCTTCATTAGGGCTGTGGTGCTGGCCGGGCGTGCCAGGCTTTACCAGGGCAGAGCAGGCAACTCTGGCAAACTATGGCAGGCTGTGCTAACGAGTGAAGATGCTGACGAACTGATGGCATAGCTGAAGAGGGTGAGGAGAGAAAGAGAGAGAGAGAGGTAACGAGAAAGAGAGAGAGAGAGAGAGAACGAGAGAGAGAGAGAGAGATAGAGAGATAGAGAGAGAGAGAGAGCGAGAGAGAGAGAGAGAAATAACGAGAGAGAGAGAGAGAGAAACAACATACATAAGCATATGGAAAGAGAGAGAGAGAGAGAGAGAGAAGGAGAGAGAGAGAGAGAGAGTGTGCGAGAGAGAGAGAGAGAGAGTGGAGGTTACTACTAATACAGAGAAGAGAGCAGACTACGACAACTTCTCTTGAACACCAGGGTGCTCCACAATCCCGGGCCTCGAGGGATGAGGGGGTGAATGATGATTAGGATGAAGTTGATGATGCGGATGGGGACGAGGATGTGGATGAGGATTCTGCTGCTGCTGCTGAAGATGATGATGATGAGGAGGAGGGGGAGGAGGATAATGCGGATGAGGATAAAGATGATGCTGCGGATGCTTATGCTTATGCTGATGATGTTGATGACGATGATGATGGTCATGGCGATGATGGCGATGCTTTTAGTGATGGTGATGGTGATGCTAATGGTGCCGATGATGCCGACGATGACGCGACTTTCGATGAGAGGTTCATGATGACGAGACTGCCAACTACGACGAGCATGGCGATATGATGACACTTGGGATGTTGGTAATGGTGCTGCTGCTGCTGATGATGATGATGATGATGTTGGTTACTATGGTGATGATTACGACGTTGATGATGACGATGTTGATGACGATGATGACATTGACGTTGACGACGACGGTTGCGATGATGATGATGCTGATGATGCTGCTGCTGCTGCTGATGATGATGCTGATGATGATGTTGTTGATGACGATGATGGTGGGGGGTCAAGAGTGGGAGGATGAGCATCGGCATGCGAAATACGGGTCGCTGGGGAGGATGGGGGATGGGGAATGAGATTCTGCTGCTGCTGATGGTGGCGATGGCGACGATGACATTGACGGTGAGGGGGATGTGGAGGAGGGGGAGGAGGAACGTGAAACGAAACAGGAGGTTGATGATGAGCAGGAGCAGGAGCAGGAACACGGAAATACTGGATGGAAAATGGGGAACACCTTGAGGAGGAATGGGGACAATGGAGGGACACAGTGGGTTGCGGATAAGGGCCGATCAAGATGACGACGATGGTGATGATGGTGATGTTGATGATGACATTGCGGTGATAATGATGATGATGATGTTGTTGATGATGATGATGATGATGATGATGTTGGTTCTGATGAAGGAGATGAGTGTGACACTTCGTGATACCGATTCCGATGGCGATGATGTTGCTAACGACTGCGACAAATCTGCTGTTTTTGATGATGTTGATGACGACACTGATGATGATCATGACTATGCTGTTGATGCTGCTGCTGATAATGGCGAGGGAATTGGGGGTATGGATGTTGATGCTGGTGGTGGTGGTGTTATGGCGATGATGAGATGACGGCGAGGATGATGAGTATGTGGCCGTGGTAATGACGCTGCTGCTTCTGTTGATGATGCTGTTGATGATGTTGCTGATGATGCTTCTGCTGATGATGATGATGCTGAGGCGGAGGAGGAGGAGGAGGAGGAGGAGGAGGAGGAGAAGCAGGGTGAGGAGGACGAGGACGACCGCAGGCGATCGCCAGGCTGTCCGCGGACCCCCCGGTGCTGGGGGGCATCCGCCTGGATGTCAAGGCGCACAGGCAGAAGCAGCCAGACGGCTCGCAGGAGAGCCTGGCTGTGGGGATGATGCTGCTAATTATGCTGCTGCTGATGGTGATGCTGATGATGATGATGATGATGATGATGATGATGCTGATGCTGATGCTGATGCTGACGACGACGACGACGACGGCGATGCTGATGATGATGATGACGATGATGTGGTTGATGATAATGATGCTGGTATTGGTGATGATGCTGATGATGATGATACTGGTAATGGTGATGATGCTGACGACGACGATGATCGAGACGATGATGATAACGATGAATTATGCTGATTGTGATGATGGTGATGAGGAGATGATGCTGATGATGATGATGACTTTGATGACGAATATGATGATGATGTTAATGATGATGTTGATGGTGATGGTGATGATGATGAAGATGAATATGCCGCTGCTGACTGTGATGATGATGGTTATGCTTATGATGATGATGATGATGATGATGATGATGATGATGATGATGATGATGATGATGATGATGATAATGAATGCTGCTAATGATAATGATGATGATGATGATGATGATGATGATGATGATGATTCTGATGCTGATGACGCTGGCGATGATGGAGACGATGATGATGCTGATGATAATGCTGAAGACGCTGATGAAGATAATGATGATCTGGTTTGATGGTGATGGTGATGATGATGATGATGATGATGATGATGATGATGATGATGATGATGACGATGGCGATGACGATGTCGATGGTGATGGCGATGACCATGACGACGACAATGACGATGATGACGATGATGTTGTTGTTGATGACGCTGATGGTGATGTCGACGATGCTGATGATGCTAGTGATGATGATGGTGATGATGAGTGTGAGGATGAGTAAGATTATGATGCTGACTATGGCGATTCTGCTGATGCTGCTGATGATGATGCTGCTGCTCATGATGATGCTGCCGATGATGACAATTCCGCTGCTGCTGATGATGCTGCTGATGATGATGATTATGTTGTTGATGATGATGCTGATGCTGATGATGATGATGCTGATGAGGATGAGGATGGTGATGCTGATGACGATGATGATGGTGATGGGGCTGATGATGATGACGATGATGATGATGATGATGATGTTGATGCTGATGCTGATGCTGATGATGATGATGCTGGTGATGCTGATTCTGATGATGCTACTACTGCCCATGATGATGATGATGATGATGATGATGATGGTGATGATGATGATGATGATGACTGTGATGTTGATGATTATGGTGCCGTCGATGGGGATGATGATGATGCTGCTGATGATGAGGATGCTCATGATGATGCTGACGATGCTGATGATGCTGATGATGACGATGCTGATGATGCTGGTGATATTGATGGCGATGACGACGGTGATGATGATGATGATGATGATGCTGATTCTGATGACGACGATGATGATGCTGACAATGTTGATGATGCTGATGATGATGATGATGATGCTGATGCTGTTGATGATTATGAATATGATGCTGATGATGATGCCCATTGGTGACGATGATGATGATGCTGATACTGCTGCTGTTGATGATGCTGATGATGATGATCATGACGATGCTGCTGATGATGATGATGATGATGTTGATGCTGATGCTGATGCTGATGATGATGATGATGGTGATGCTGATTCTGATGATGCTACTACTGCCCATGATGATGATGATGATGATGATGACGACGGTGATGTTGATGACTATGGTGCCGTCGATGGGGATGATGATGATGCTGCTGATGATGACGATGCTCATGATGATGCTGACGATGTTGATGATGCTGATGATGACGATGCTGATGATGCTGGTGATATTGATGGCGATGACGACGGTGATGATGACGATGATGATGATGCTGATTCTGATGACGACGATGAGATGCTGACAATGTTGATGATGCTGATGACGATGATGCTGATGCTGTTGATGATTATGAATATGATGCTGATGATGATGATGCCCATTGGTGACGATGATGATGATGCTGATACTGCTGCTGTTGATGATGCTGATGATGATGATCATGACGATGCTGCTGCTGATGATGATGATGATGATGGTGATGACGATGATGCTGTTGATGATGATGCTGATGATGATAACGATGATGCTGATGATTCTGGTGATGATAAAGAAGACGATAAGTATGACGATGGTGACGACGGGGATGATGATGATGGCCATTATGATGACGATGGTGACCAGGATGAGGATGATGATGATGATGATGATGATCAGGATGATGATTATGCTGATGCTGATGCTGATGCTGATGATGTTGATGATTCTGATGCTGATGCGGATGATGATGATGCTGCTGTTGATGATGAATATGCTGTTGATGATGATGCTGATGATGACGATGATTATTATGAGATGATGATGATGCTGATGCTGCTGATGATGATGATTATGATGCCGATGCTGATGCTGCTGATGATGATGCTGATGATGCTGCTGCTGATGATGCTGACGATGACGATGATGATGATGATGATGATGATGATGATGGTGGTGGTGATGATGATGATGATGATGGGGATGCTGATGATGATCATGATGATGAGGATGCTGATGATGATGATGATGATGATGATGATGCTGATGAGGTTGATGATTCGGATGATGATGATGCGGATGATGATGATGATGATGATGCTGCTGTTGATGATGAATATGCTGTT